CGCTCGCTTGGAAACCGGGATCGTGGGTTCGAATCCCACCTAGGCCATGGATGTTTAGTTTGTGTACAGGTAGAGGCCTTGCGAGGAGCTGATCCCCCCCCCCAAGGAGTCCTACCGAATGTGTAAGATCTAGAAAAACCGAAGTGAATGGAGAAGTTCAAGGAGGTAGGCCTAGGCCCACTGGGGCTGTAGTGTCAAGGGGGAAGAAAAGCATCATATTTGAGTTCGAATTTCGTCATAGAGACAGGCTATAAGGAGCGAGGTTCTTCGTGCATTTTTCAGCCTCCCTACACAAACGCTGGAATATTACCGTAAAGCAGGAAACGAGCGATCCTTCCAAGCCCTTTCCAATTTAACCTTCACAAATAGATTTTTGGCTCGTCGTTATGTAGCTTACGAAACTTTAGATAATGTTATCAACATAACTTTCATGGATTGCACAGAATGTATTCGGTTTCTGGTAAGTTTTTATCACTATCTAGTGAGGTAAATGTGTTCACATATTTCAATACACTAATAGAAGTAACAAAATATGCACGGAAGAAAACTCAAAAGAAACATGTCATATAAAAACAACATCAACAACGATATTGCACGTTTTATGTTACGTTCTCATTCGTAAATTAAATATTTTTGGGGAACTTATAAAATTATTCCTCAATTAAGTATAATATTTTAGTTAGGAAGCTGAGCCCTTCTTGAGGAGAAGGCAAATGGGCAGCTACTCAAGAATTTCCCAGCATTTTATGGAACCCGAAAGTTCATTACAATGTTCACAAGAGCCCGTCACTGGTCCCTATCCTGAGCCACATCAATCCAATCCATACCATCGCATCCTATCTCTCTAAGATACATTTTAATGTTATCTACCCACCTACGCCTTGGTCTTCCCAGTGGTCTCTTTCCTTCTGACTTTCCCACAAATATCCTATATGCATTACTCTTCTTCACAATTCGTGCTACATGCCCTGCCCACTTTATCCTCCTTGACTTAATCATTCTAATTATACTTGGAGAAGAGTAAAAGTTATGCACAATTAAATATAATATCCAAGTCAAATTTAAGTTTTTTCTTAAACACTTAACAATTATCTGTTTTTGCGAAGGCCGTTTGAATTCTACAGTTTTTTTATTCCTAGTGGGGCGGGACCAAATCCCTTGTACTGCGGCCACTTCTTGCCTATTGTACCAGCCACAGATGATAGGTGAGGGTGATTGTGGGGCAATTGGTGAAATGAAGATTGGCAGGGGAAACCGAAGTACTCGGAGAAAACCTGCCCCAGCGTCACTTTGTCCACCACAAATCCCACTTGACCAGACCCGGGATCGAACCCGGGCCGCCGCGATGGAAATCCAGCGACTAACCGCTTGAGCTATGGCGCGGCCCGAGTTCTACAGTTAGTCTGTTTAAACATTTCTCTCTTCACTGCAGATGGCTGTTACGCCCGTGAGCCTCTTGCCGACATGGGAAGAGAATGGCATATACAAGTTCAAAGCCCTGCTCATCAGACACAGATACATTGTATGAACATCGCTTGGGAACTAAATATAGCACATATTTTAACGACAAAAACAGCCATATATCATGTACTCAAAGCAGCCTATAGTGCACTACTGCATACAGATGTATGATTCTTATGCGAAAGACCGGCCATCAACCTAATAGTCAAATACACTCCGTGGCACAGAAATTTCATGGTCACTTGATGGCCAATGAACAGTTAAAGAAATTTTGTGTTTCTACCAATACATGGTGACCCGGGGTAGCGCCGTTGGTATAGCTACCACCTACGGGCTTGATGACCGAGGGGTAGGAGTTCGAGTCCCGGTAGGGTCAGAATTTTCCCTTCTTCATATCGTCCAGACGGGTTCTGGGGCCTACCCAGCCTCCTATCCAATGGGTGCCGGGGACTTTTTCTCCGGAGGTAAAGCGGCAGGGGCGTGAAGCTGACAACTCACCTTCAGCTATTGCTAAGTTAAAGAAATGTGGATCTATACATCCACTACCACCTTTAACTTACCAGTACATGAAATTCATCATCGTACCAGAAAATTCCAAAATGTGAGCTTACTGTGATCCGTTTAAGTTCATCTCTCATCCCCACATAATAACATACTAAAATCCGTTTTAATATTATTATCACATCGACATGACTGGTCGCACTGCTATTCTTCTTCAATTTGCAACAAAAATACTCTAATTATTTATTGTGTCTCAATGTTTTTTTATATTCTGGCCACCTTAACCCCCATTTGATTTGACTGTTTCGTGCTATATGTAATCACACTTTGCAAATAACATAGGCTTCATACTGTGTAGCGTCGAATGATCGATCTGTAAACGTTAAATAGGAAAGTATGCAAAGGGAAGCAGTCGCAAAGCTGCCCCAGGAAAAAAAAAGAACGAAAATGTTCAGTCAGGATGTAAGGCCTTCGAGTTGGTATTTACACAGACCACTGCATCGTATCTTTATTTAAGAATTCCACAACTGATAGACAAAGAGTGAAAATTATACTGATCTCAGCTATGTAATTTATCCCATTACCCTGTTATTTCTTCTTCCGCACCCCTCCATACTTTGTCCAAAAGCAGAGTAATTTCGTTCAATTCAGGCTTGAACAGCTACGTTTCGTGACATTGATCTTTTATGGCGAGTCGTTATTAACCTCATGTTCAACTACCGAGAATAATTAGCTGCACCTTTATGATGCAGAGTCCTTCCTGACAAGTTTATGGCTGCTGGAGTGGTCAAAATTATATCTCCTCTTATGCAACCGGAAAGTTAAATACACTTTCACAAGAACCAGCCACTGGACCTATCCTCAGCCGGTTGAATCTAGCCGAAACCTTCATGTCTCTCTAAGACGCACATGATTATCATCCCATATATGATTACGTCTCTTCCCTTTTAATTTTGGGGCTAAAAGTTGGAATGCACTTTTCACCTACCTTATATCCTACCCGCCTCATCTTTCTTGGTTGGGTTACTGTAAATATATTTGATGAAGAGCACAAATTATGAAACTTCCTGCTATTCACTTTTCTCCATCTTCCTGTTATTCCTTTCTCTTAAATATAGATATTCTCCTCATCCCCTTATTCTCCTTACTTACTTCTATCAGAGTACGATTGAGTTTCAAACCAATTAAAAACAGGTAGAACTATAGTTTGTATATTTTTAAGTTTAAGATTTTGTGTGGAAGAAGGGACGGAGAAAGATTGTGAACTGAATGGCTGAAAGCATTACCCGAATGCAATCTGCTCGTCACCTCTTCGTAAAGGTAACATGGCCCTGTTACCGGGTACTAGGTACATTAACCTCCACTCCAACCAGCCACTCAGTCAGCCAGCAAATCATCCATCCATCCAGCCAGCCAGTCAGGAAACCAATCAACCAACCAACCAAACAACTATCCATCCATCCATCCATCCAGCCCGCCAGTCAGGAAACTAAGCAACCAACCAACCATCCATCCATCCATCCATCCAGCCAGCCCGCCAGCCCGCCAGCCCGTCAGCCAACCAATCATCTATCTATCCAGCCAACCAACCATCCATCCAACCATTCACCCATCCATCCAGCCAGCCAGCCAGCCAGTCAGGAAACCAATCAACCAACCAACCAAATAACCATTCAACCATCCATCCATCCAGCCAGCCAGTCAGGAAACTAACCAACCATCCAACCATCCATCTATCCATCCATCCAACCAACCATTCAACCATCCATCCATCCATCCAGCCAGCTAGCCAGTCAGGAAACCAATCAACCAACCAACCAACCAACCAAACAACCATCCATCCATCCATCCATCCAGCCAGCCAGCCAGCCAGCCAGCCAGTCAGTCAGTCAGCCAACCAACCATCCAAACATCCAACCAGCCAGTCAGTCAGGAAACCATCCATCCATTCATCCATCCATCCAGCCTGCTAAGTGTATCTTTGAACGTATCGGTTTGAAAATCATGATCCATATGCGGCCAAAGTTTGTGGATCAACGTCAACTCGTCTGTCAGCCTTGAGACATGTTCTCAGCGTAATGATGAAGCATGTCCTCAAACTAATATCTTACACTGGAAAGTAGTTCATTATCACCATTACGACGCTGCCATCAGCTGGCACAGAGTTCACATAAAAAGTGTTTAATAACTCGGTCAGCAACTAATTTCTCTGATGTCCTCTCTCGTACACTGTTGCCAAGTAAACTTAACACATGTCCGTAATGTAGCACATGCAGCAGCAATACATTTGGTTCATGTATCCGTCTAGTAAATTATTAATACATGTCTCCACATATCTATCCAGCCATATGTATATTAATTTCAGATGTTCATTCATTCATTCCTATATTAAATAATATATCCGTTCCTGGCCTGGAGTTTTATTAAAGTAAACTGCACTGAAATAATGAACTTGCTTTTTGTTTTGTTACTTATTCTTACTTAATACCTGTAATTATATGAACATGAAATTAATCTCGCAATTACATTGTCATGGTTTATGCTGTCAGCAGATCAGATTATGAACTCATAATTTCAAATGATAAGATGATTAGTAACAATAAATTGGAAGGGATATGGAAGGAAATGTCCGTGACCTTAATCGACCACATTGGTGTAGTAGTAACGCTTTAGACATGCATCTGGGAGGTGCTAGGTTCGAATACCGGCAAGCGCAACGGCCATCATTACTAACGGTTTTTGTGGTCTTCCTCGGTCATTCCAGGGAAGTACCTGATAGTGCTTCGATTAGGTAATTGAAGTACCTCATCGGGAATCGAACCCGCGACCTCCCGGCTTGTAACATAGTGCCTCAACCAACTACTCTACTGCGTGCGGTGTGACGGAGTGAACTTGAAATTTAATTGAGTGGTAGGTAATGAACACTACAGTTCCATAAAGGATATCCTTGAACAGCACAGCGACCATCAGCTTATCAACATTGACTCTGCTCCAATAACGTGTGATTAGGAGCAGGTTATCTGGTTTCTGTGTTTCAGAGGGCTTGGTGGACTTGCTGCGTGCTACGCGGATCCACAGCCTGCCGCTGGGGGTGAACCGGACGACGGGGGTGTGCACGTCACGCCCGGGGTCTGACCCTGATATAGCGTACAGCATCAGCGAGCAAACCATCCTCACAGTTCAGACTGCGCAACTCTTCCCTTCAGGATACCCACAGGACTTCTCCCTTTTGCTCGTGGTGAGGCCCACGAAAGGTAAAGTAGCCCACAATTGAGGAATTGGAGTGACCAGAGGTTGTTGCGCCCCATTTGAAAATACAAAATGAATTATAACAGGTAGAAGTTACATGCTATGTCAATGTATTTCTCATTTTATTCAGATCCAATTTCTATGTCTTAGGTTTCTTTTGTTGCTCTTTGTGGTGGGCTGAGACTGAGTCCACTTGGTACGTCGGCCATTAATTGGTCTATTGTACCAGCTCCGGATCATAGGTGGTGGGTGTGGAGCAATCGATGGAATGGAAATTGGCAGGGGAAACCGAAGTACTCGGAGAATACCTGCCCCCGTATCACTTTGTCCACCATCAATCCCACATGACCTGACCTGGGCTCGAACACGGGCCGCCGTGGTGCGAAGCCGGAGATTAACCGCCTGAGCTGTAGCACGGCCATTTTGATGTCTTTATTTTCAGCATTTAGAACAAATGATTTGTGATATGTTAAAATTAAGCTGTTTTTTTACGTGACGTCGTACAGATAAATATCAATCTTTCAGAAGAACCAGATGCATATATCTTCAGAAAAATTTTCTTCGACGTCATCTGCGTGTTGCCCCTTCCATGTACCCGTCTGGCCCATGAGATAACAGACAGATTATTGTACCTGGGCTGGATACACCACCCCGCTATATGTTGCATGGCTGTTGCCATAAAAGCAATAATCTATTCTTAACGTCAGGTAAGGTATGAACCAAACAGGATCATTTAGGGCACTGGTATGTTTTTTTATTGCTAGTGGGGTGGGACTAAGTCCCTTGTACTGCGGCCACTTCTGGCCAATTGTACCAGACCCAGATGATAGGTGAGGGTGATTGTGGAGCAATTGGTGGAATGAAGACTGGCAGGGGAAACCGAAGTACTCGGAGAAAACCTGACCCAGCGCCACTTTGTCCACCACAAACCCCACTTGACCAGACCCGGGATTAGGGCACTGGTAATGCGCAGGATAACAGCGGGCATCGGACTTAAAGCATCTTGGCATATTCGCAGAGAGTGAAGATATATGCTTGCAGGAACGCAAGCAAGCATCCCTTCAAAATATTTGCATGTATCTATGGAGGGGCCCAAAAAATATATACACACTTCAAAGTAGAAAGTATCTGATTAAATAATTTATTGGTATATCTCCAGTTCAACTTTAAAAAATGTACGTACGTGTATAACCTCTGTAACATGCTTTGATACAGGTTATCTACGGACATTTTCGTAGTTGAACTGTAAATATACCAATTAACTAATCAAGCAGAGGGGGCACGCGGTAGCATAATTGGTTGAGGCCGTGGGATCGAATCGTGATGAGGTGGATCTTTTCAATTTACCTAATCCTTCTAGCCGCACTATGGGCCCTGGGTTCAACTCAGCCTCTAACAGAAATGAGCACCAGGAATATTCCTGGGGTAAAGGGCGGCCGGAGCGTAAGGCTGACAACCTCACCGCCATTTGTGAGCCGATTATTTAGAAATCGTGGGAGCCTCAACATCTCACAATCCTATGGGCCTCCAAGGCCTGTTACAGGGAAACCTTTACTTTTTACTATTCAAGCAGATATTTTGTACGCTGTGTGTACATTTTTGGGCCATTCTCTGTATATCAGATGCAATCAAGTAGAAGAGATAAAAGATAAATGGACAGAAACAATTTTAACAAATGAGAAATGTCGTAAGATACAAGTATCAGCGACAATACAATACGTCACAGAAGTTATCACAGAATTAAGAATATAAAGAGAATGAAAACATAAAAAAATCTCCGTTGTTTGAGTCCGCAAGCGAAATATACCGACCGAGCGACCGTCGCTTATCGGCGAACTTAGTGCCAGCTTTTGCGGATAGAAGGTGTCGTGTGGTCAGCGCAACAAATCCCCACAGCCGTTAATCTCAGTTTTCTAGACCGGAGCCGCTATTTCCTTGAAATAGCTCCTCAATTATCCTCAGGAGGCTGAGTGGACCCCAGTTCAGACCCACAATTTCTCATAAAATCTGATAGCGCCGGGAATTGAACCCACACCTCTGGATCTGTAGGCAGGAACTCTGACCACAAGACCACATGGGCGGTAAAAACATAGGATAATTAAATATTGATTTTTATTAGTGTTTCCGAAGGATATAATTTTTGCTACAACTATTCATTATTTCATTCTGAGATGCTCAAGAAAGATACTTAAGGCGGTGACCTGGACAAATGTAGTCTTTCACTAATTTGGTCCTAGCTAGACGAAATGAGGAAACAAATTGAGTGGGCGCTGAGTACCATTTTGACTTCTGTCTCAGGTGCGAGGCGAGCTGCATTCTTCACCATATACAGCGACACCGGAGACGAGCAGATTGCAGTGTCCCTGGGAGACGATGTCACTTTGTTTTATGAAGATCCTGACACTAAACCTACCTCTAAGAAAACCATCAGCTTTGGCGCTGATATCAGCGACGGCAAGTAAGTGCATACAGTCATGCCGGAAAGGTAAAAAGGTAAAGCTATCCCTGTAGCAGGCCGTGAAGGCACATAGAGTTGTGAGACGTCGAGGCTTCCACATTTCCTTGACAGTCGCCTCACAGATGGCGGTAAGGTTGTCAGCCTTACGCGCCGGCCGCCCTTTACCCCCAAGGAGATTCCTGGTACCAAATTCTGAGTCGAACCCAGAGCCATAGTGCAGCTCGAAGGATTAAGTCAATTAAAAAAAACACTATGACCTCATTGGGAATCTAACCCGCGACCTACCGGCTTGTAGCATAGTGCCTCAACCAACTACGCTACCGCGTGCCTCAATGTCGTAAAGTTAGCCACTTTCCATTAGAACTAACAAGATGTCCGTCTGCGTATATATACATTCTGTTGCACTCTGGCGACATCTACAGCATAAACCTTCAACTTGCAAAAAAGTCTTTTAGGTACAAGTTTGACAGAGTAATTTGTATGTGATATATGCTGTACTTTCACCGCAGAAAATGTCTAATTTTAATTTTGAAAGAAACCAAAGATCAGCCTTCAGTACTCTGATAGAGAAAACAATGATGGTAGTACGTGTATACTAAATTATGGAAAGAGTTCGGGCGATTCTCGGCGACCATTGACGTGCGTTTCTATACTCCGAGGTTAATTGGATGTCGGTTTTCCAACTGCACAGATCACACAGAATCGAATGGGAGGACGATTATAAATCGTGAAATGGGACGGTTGCGGAAGGAAGTGGTAGTGGCATATTTTAAGGTACTATTCCAGAATTTACCAGGAGGGAATGTGGAGGATCACAAAAACCGTCCTCAGGACACGCCTTGCAAACCCAAATCGGTATGTGTTCGTAAAAGTAGAATGTAAAAGGAGTATGGGGGGGTGTATATATAGATCTACATTTTCTTGACCTCGGCACTAACTGGAGGTTAGTGGTCAGTTTCACGACTCCCAGGGAAAGACCCTCCGACGGCCATTGGATAGTCCAAAGAGTCGGTCTGGACGATATGGATAAGTGAAAATTCTTGCCTCCACCGGGACTCGGAACTCCGACCCTTTGGTTGTCCAGCCCGTAGCCAGTTGCTATACCGATTGAGCTATCCTGGCTCCTTCTGTATGTGTTCATGCTTTACTTCAGGACGCTCTCAGTAAGGCAGACTGCAGTGTTAGGAATGCATCCTGTTATGTATGTATATGCATATACACATACAAACTTTATTGCGTCGAATTATGGGATGATAGTGAATTACGAATTGATATTATTTGACAGGAAACGATTATGGTCTAATTTAAGATAATATACGGGATTTTTCCTTGAAGTAATAAGGAAAACCAAGAAAATATAAGCCGTAATTAGAGTGGGTATTCCGGATGAGATTCGAACCTACTTCCGCCCAAATACAAGTCAAAATTGTTTACGTGTTCGGTCAGGAATAAGACCTGGAACTTAGAACTCCCAAATATTTAGTAGAAATGCAATCATACAGCGATGTTTCCAATGGAAATAGACAAGGTCGGATTTTAAATTATATATTTAAACTATTTTCATATTTATAAGCCGCAATGTGAAGTGAAATGTCATAAACTGAGATAAGGCACACTATAATGTAAAGGCAAACACAGAACCGTTTCTCCGACGGCTAATTTTTGTATTAACTATCACTGAAATGAGTAGCATGTTACACACAAACACACCGACGCGATGCCCCACATGAATAACATAATGTATCTGATGACGCAAACACATGAGTGTAAATTTTATCGTCAGTCTCCTTTAATTTTCCGCCTAACAATTTTTATAGAATAAAAGTTGAGATTGTCATACATCGCTTTCTTGGAGTCGTGACTGGGTCCGATGCTTACCGTTGGAACTATCCATTTACAAGCAAGGACTCAGTCATTTTGTGACAGTCCAATTTCACCCGTATATTTCTTTCCAAATAGAGCGCAAGTTACAGACAGCGACAAAATTCCATCAAATGCGGATAAAATCACATAGGTATAGTTCCTTAGGTCTTCTCAGCTACACAATTTATGAAACAAGGGTTAATATTTGAGTGAAGAATTAAAATAATAATTAGAATTAAAGCGGGACACGCAGTAGCGTAGTTGGTTGAGGCACTATGCTATAAGCCGAAAGGTCACGGTTTTGATTCCCGATGAATTTATTAGATTTTTTAAAAAAATTTCCAGCTTCTTCATCCACAATGCTGTCCCTTTAGCCGCAATATAACATAAAATTAAAAAAGAATTAAATAAACTGAGAAAGGAACAATACATCCTGAAATTTAGAACAATACGCTGAGGTGTGAAACGACGTCCTCCGAACGCTTCTAAGTGTCTGTATAGCAGTATATATATATAGTCACGTGACGCGTGGGTTTGCACTTCAAATCAATGCTTTCTGTACCATCGCTCGATATACTTGTCCCAAATAGAGATATGACGTAAAAAGTTCATGTCAATAGGCCTCTGCCCTTTTTTGGTTTACCGTTTACTCCGATGTTCTGGTCATCCAGTTTGTCGTAGGAAGACAGAGAGGCTGGGTTAAAAGCCCATAGAGGCCCCGTCTCTCATCAGGATACCAAGAATTTATGTTGCTTACTTTCATTTAAAAGGTTCAATGTACATAAAATGGGAACTTAAATACAAAGTAGTAGTAGTAACACAATTTCGTGATATACTCGTGTTTCTGTACATTATTTCCACTAATGCAAATTCCGTAAAGTTATATTTGTCTGATACAGTCTAAAAATTTAGGACGTCTTATCTATAATTTTAAATAACAAAACATGTTTCATATCATACTTAGATATGTTTATTAACTATATCCATACACAATTTCGCCTGCCCAGTGGTTCGTTAAGTACTGAAATCAGACGGAAAGTAAACTAACTGTTTGGCACTGCAGCCATTCATTTCCTCTGCGTTATGTAAAAATAGACGACAACAGCTGAAGTCGATCGCCAGTCAGAAGTTCGCATGGCCGCCACGTTAATGATGGCATGTAAATAAAAAAGAAAAATGAACTGAGACGTTTAATTGGAGCCGAAATATGAGAGGTGCAAGTATTCAGTATTCAGTATTGAGGGGGTGGGCTTCCCCATGCACTTAGACCAGTTATTGGTCCATTGTGCGTCCCCCTTTTAATTTCTACTGTCTCCATACCCTACCAGTACTGGTGCTTACTATCAGCCCCTTTCTGCCAGCGAGGTTCCAACCTTCTACTGGCAGTGGTATCTAATAGTTAGTCCCTTTCTGTCAGAGAGGTCCCCCCTCCTCTGGCAGTGGTACCTAATACTTCCCCATCTACCGGAGGCATTGGAAACTACTTTGGGCGGGAAACTTTTGGGCCAAATTTAGCTCAGAGGTCTCCTAGAGACATGAGGTTCTTTTACGTGCCGTAAATCTACGACACGGGACCCACGGCTTAAAGTCCCTCCCGGAGGACTTGTTCCCTGAATTTTTCCTCCGGGTTTGAACCCGCGTACCTTGAGTCATGAGGTGGGAACGTTACCCCTAGACTACTGAGGCCGCTTAGGTGCAAGTAAGGAGGTTTATTGGTATTAGAGTCATTATGATTACGGCAATTGAGACTGCCACAGCTGAATTGTTTACATGCTGAATGCAGAACCATAATCGATACTAAATCATAGAGAAGAAAATAAACATCAGTTGTAAATATCTTTAAGTGATTTATGTACAGGTGCGCTTATTAATAACAAATAATCGTTTCTACACTATAAACAAATGCTCATCATAAAAGTTTACACAATTTACTTCAATCCACTTCACTTATTCCAAATCCGCTTCTATAAGAACTCGTTTGCTTAATATTGCAATGCGTTGCATTACAATACAATGCACTACATCACGTTGTATGATATCGTCACGATTTAGTGGTGTGACTATAGACGGGGTATGGATTGGTGAATAAATTTATTGATCACTTACACAAACCACTCGGAACTACAAGTAATGACAGCGCTATCGCTAAAGTCCACAATTTACAAATCATCACAGCACCAGTTGAGCCTTTTTTCCAGCTTGCTGCGTCTTCATCAGCCGTTCCCTGGCAACTGCTTCTAACAGTGGAGATTCTTCAACTTCCCGCGCTCGGTTCTATCTTTACAGCCTCCCGTGCAGAACTGTACTGTTAACTGACAACTGAAGACAAACTGTAGCGACAGCTCTTTTCAGCCTCCTTTGCAGAGTTCGCTTGAACTCGTTGCCCTAATTCTCTTCTTTATAACTTCTCGGCGTGGACCGCCTAGACAACACCACGTTCCCCCCCGTTGCATGCGTAACCTTTGCCGCGGGAATATGTTCACCTAGCCGTTGTCTAGAAACGGGTCTGATAAAACCGCCTATCGAACGATCGTTGCATAGCAACCGCTGTACATGCTACAATATTCTATATTATCATATTATACATAGACTCTTATACTGTATTATATAAAAATTCACGTTATAATTACTCTAGGTCAGGAAAACAATCTATACCATATAAATTCACTTACCTAAGCCCACAATGAAATTCACATGATTCTGTTCCCTGCAGATGGCACCGGCTTGGCTTCAGTATAAAGGGGGATGCTGCAACACTGATTCTAGACTGCAAGAAGCAGATTACGAGGGAACTGGTCCGGCAGACGACGTCGAAAATCAGCACGACAGGGATCGTTCTCATTGGTCAACAGCTTTTGGATGACATCCTGTATACGGTCAGTACTAATAGTACATAGTTGCGCCCTCAGGTTCCCTCTTAGTCAGCTGTGATTGTACTTCTCCATTAGTAATTCAATAAGGCAGAAAAATAAAGTTGTCGCTTTGTTTAACTAATTAAGCACTACGCCATGAAGACGTAAGGGGGAGTGAATGTATAGACCTATGTTTTCCTGACCTCGGCTCTATTTAGAGGTGAGTGGTCAGCTTCGAGCTACTGCCGCTTTATCCCCGGGTAAAATTTCCCGATACTCACTGGATAGGAAGTTGGGTGAACCCCAGAGCTGGTCTGGACGACGTGGGGAAGAGAAAATTCTTGACCCTACCGGGGCTCTAACTCCGACCCCTCGGTCGTCCAGCCCGTAGTCAGTCACTATATTGACTGAGCTATCCCGGTTCATTTTAGTAATTCAATTAATTAATTATTAATGATATACTAGACGAGAGACTGCTGCTACAACAAAGTATTAGAGATCATTCCTTTCCAGTATTTGTAGGAAAAAAAAACTTATAATGTGCCATTGAAATATGATACAATCATTTTATTTTCACTTGTAGTCTTTAATATTTCAATTCGCGTCAGTCAGAGGTAGCAATTGTTTGGGCAGCTGCTGAAGACAAGCTATTAAAAGGTCACAAATTCAGTTTCTTCTAATTCACTTCAAGAAACACTAATGTAGATTCTATATGCCGGATCTGATTTCTCTTTCTACCAGTGCAATTCCATTTAACTCAATTTGCATAAGAATCAAGCGAGACGAATATTTGTACCCAATTACCTATGCAGTACATTGGAAATTTCACTGAACGATCCAGAATTGTGCAGAATTTAGAAAGGATAATTGTTGGTAATGGAAAAGTTGTGTGTTTGCTTCGAGATATGAATAGAAATTTTTGGTAAAGTGTAGAGAGGTTCTGTGTCACAAAGCAAACTGCAGCTGCTGGCCTTCCTGCGATCATTTCTTGAATAGCTGACCACTGTCGATAAAGCGGGGACGGTTCTTAAAACATACAGGCAATGCAGATGACTGCAATTGGTCCTCAGCTGCATTAGAAATATCGACCATTAAGGAGAACGAAATAACTGGTTTTCAAACACTACTCTTTCAATTATGCAAACCTTCCTAATTTCTATATTCGCTTAGTGGGGGGTGGAGTCCAACTGGGTCCTCTCGGAACGGAGGCCACTGATTGGCCTACTGTAGCCTGCCCCGGGTAATTATGATGATGGAGAATTTGGTGGAATGAAGATTGGCAGGAGAAACCGAAATACTCGGAGAAAACCTGCCCCAGCGCCACTTTGTCCACCACAAATCCCACTTGACCAGACCGGGGATCGAACCCGGGTCGCCGCGGTGTGAATCCAGCGACTAACCGCTTGAGCTATGGCTCGGCCTAATTTCTATATAATCTTCCAAACGCGAAAGACAAATTCAACCCAGAATACAATAAACTGTACACCAAAATCGCTTTGTTTAAATCTTATAACCATATGAAAATTTGTGCTACAGAATATTTAGTGTTACCGAAGGAGGACGTTAAACATCGAATATGTATCTGTTCTCACAAACAAGCCTAATCCTCCGTGGTAATGAATATCATCGAATAGCTTACGCCTCTCGCAGACAACTTATTTTCGAAAAGAAAAATGTCAGAATTGTTCCTATACTCCTTCATTCAAACATTCAATTTTTTATCGGCAGTAGACTCAACAGAATACGTAACGATGTGTAGTGATTTGTATTCCCCAGTTACACAGACTGCCGGCTTGAACAGTATCGCTGACAAGTCGTTTCAGATGTCTGCATGCATATTTTTATGTAATCCCATGAATTCTTAAGTGAATTTCTCGAAGTAACTACGGTCCATAGGCTACTAGTTTCTCTGTGTTGTCTACAGTATGTCTATGATATATATTTCAAAGGAACTTTCAAAGACAAGCTTCCAAATGACAAATACGTACAGAATTTTAGTCGGGACACTTGAAGTGAACGGGTCAAATGGAAGGCCTAGATATAGATGAGGATAATATTAAAAGAGTCCTAAAGAAACGGACGTGGATTGAAATCAGTTAGCTCAGGACAGAGTCCGGTGGCTTGTTCCTCTAAACAACCTCAAATTTTGTTACATCTGCTACGTGTATATATATCGAGGTTCATTTTAAAACGCTGTAAGATTCTCAGAATTCTCAGGGTCCACTGATAGGGTGAGTGATGAATTGAAAAAGGAATTTAAAGGAATCGAGGTATCTCGGAGGAACATATCGCCTCCATCTTCACGGTCGAATAAGACAAGCAAGATACCAGTGTGAAAGCAGTGGTAAATCGGCTTGTCACTAGCTATCACACTGGTATTTTGCTCAGTTTATACGACCCTGAAGATGGAGGCGATATGTTCCTCCGAAACGTCAGTTGCCTTTCAACGGAATAAAGGGTGTTATATTCAAGAAGACAGAGTTTTTCTCTTTATCAACTATATTCAAATTACGACTATGGCGAGATATGAATATATCAATGGCATTTTTTAATGCTAGTGGGGTGGGACTAAGTCCCTTGTACTGCGGCCACTTCTGGCCTATTGTACCAGCCCCAGATGATAGGTGAGGGTCATTGTGGAGCAATTGATGGAATGAAGATTGGCAGGGGAAACCGAAGTACTCGGAGAAAACGTGCCCTAACGCCACTTTGTCCACCACAAATCCCACTTGACCAGACACATGATCGAACCCGGACCGCCGCGGTGGGAAGCCAGCGACTAACCGCTTGAGCTATGGCGCGGTCCATCGATGGTACTTAGTATTTCTTGTATATATGTGACGACTAGCTTTTTATTTTCTTTGAAACGTTTTCGTGTGCTGAGCGCAGGGAGACGTGCAGCTGTTCAAGATTGCGCCAACACCCGACGCTGCGTATGAGATCTGCGCTATTTATGCCCCGGACTGCGACAGCCCCATCGGCGGCACGGAGGCGGTAGATGACAACAGGGACGAGGAAGAGGAAGATGAAGATGAGGAAGAAGAAGATGGTGAGGAAGAAACTGACGAAGACTTGTACCAGATCAATGGCACTTCTGATCCCCTTGTGGTTACCCATGGATACCAACACAATATAACTTATGTAAGTACTTACGGGGCAGGTGGCTGAACATTTGTACGTAAATACAACTCACTTTCAGGTTATGGACACAGGACGATAAACAACACGTGCCTTTACTCATCTGCAAGCGGATTATTTCAATTGTTTTTGGGCAACGGCAATCCTATGACACTTTCAACATGGCCCCTGCATTGATGTAATGCAGCAAAAAAGTAACGATCTGAAATCGAATTTTTGTGGTCGGAAGGTTAGAAGATCTGTGATATTTACGGAATAATTATTAAGCATAGAAACGACTATATGTACCAAAGACACCGTACAATTCAGTATGACGATTCAAACGATAGAGAACAGGCAAATGTTGTTGATAATGCTACGTCTTTGCTGATATTGAATGTAATATCTGCTGAGGGTAAGGAGCAGATCGCTCAACTGTCCGGAACAACTGCAAAATAATTATGCTTGAAATTACATCATAAACGATCTCCAATCATAAAAGGAAGCTGTGTGTGGATGGCTTAAAGCCAAACTGAAATAAAACTGCATTCCGATGTAAGCTAATTAAGAGTGTTATGGACCGCTGGTCCTAATGCGTTGTTATGCAAGATGGTTATATAGGTAAAAGCAAGGTATCCCTGTAACAGGCTATGGAAGCCCGTAGGGTTGTGAGACATTGAGGCTTCCATATTTTCTCTAGACAGTCGGCTCACATATGGTGGTGAGGTTGTCAACCTTACGCGCCGGACGCCCTTCACCCCCCTCACTCCCCCGGAAGATTCATGGTGCTCATTTCTGTTAGAGGCTACACAGCGTGACCAGGTTCTGTTAGGACTGTGTTCATTAAAAA